ATACTGTCTTTCACCAAAAACCTGCAGGATAAATGCAATTGCTTGTTGCATCTTGTTATTAGAGTTCAGTACGGCCTACGATATGTATTTAGGAACCAAAACGATTGAGATTTTCTAATACGATAGGTTCGTAACTGACAACAGGCAATTATACTCAACACATCAAACCATGATGGCTAATATAAGAGGAAGGCAGAATTCCAGACAACTTGATATTTATGGCAGAATAAGCAACTCAAACGAAAATGTTACAAAAGTTGTTATTATAGTGGCAGAATATGACCTACAAGCATACAACGGACTGGAAAACATGACAACCAATCAGAGTAGAGATCGCGCGGGAAATCGAATTAGAGGAAACAATGAGTGCGGTTATCGCCTCAGAAAAGATCTTAGTCTGTTTAATAAAATATGACTATTACTGCGATGGCCTTGGAATTTCCAACCCGTAAAGATAGATTATATTATGACTACGAAAGTCCGACCCCCAGAATTTAAACGCAGTGATCCCGAATTGTGGTTTGATCAACTAAAGCATTACTTCACAAGACACAATATTAAATCGAAATTCGTGCCATTTCCTCCCTCCTGCAGTCACAAACGAAGTCTGCGACTTAATTTTAAATTCACCAACAACACAATCATACACCATTTTAAGATGAGGGATAATAATTATTAGATAAACGGTTTAAACCGTTTATCTTTATCAGACGGCTGGAGAATCAAAAGGTCTTTCCGGGGAGAAATAGGTGATAAATCACCATCACAGTCTTTACTTGACCTCCAAGTCTTGGTGGGCGACAACGCAGTAAGCGAAATAGTCCCAGAAAAATAATGTACACAAGCTCTCCCATGCTACATACAACATTTTTTGGGTGCAAAAGACCCGAACTCCACTCTATCTCACTTAGTGCGTATTGCAGACAAAATAATGAAAAGAGGTCTTGCAAATGGATCACATACGATACATCATGCATAAAAATCAACCAAGTGCAGTCAACCGTTCGCTGAGCAGTCCCACAATAGAACGAAACGACCGTCCAGTGCTTCCAGGTTTTCAATGGTGATCTAATATCAATCAGTTTATGATCTCAGTCAAAAAAGTAGAATGAGAAGATGGATGAACCGTTTTTTTACGAATAGTTCGGGCTTGAGTTGGTGGATTGCCAATATCTCAGCAGTGTATCAGATTATGATTCAACTTACCATTGATCTAAATCATTTGCATATTCAAGGACGATGTCAGATGTATTGAGTATTTCTTTATCTTAAACTACATTTTAGTTACATGTTGAATAACATTGACTATCTGTCTGAATTTATTTTAAATCATTCTTGTTACATAACCACAACACATTATACATACATATATATATATATATATATATATATATATATATATATATATATATATATATATGTATATATATATATAATTAAAACACACAAACTCGTTTTCGGCATAAAATACATTTCATAGTTTCATATGACGTACCATCATTAAAAGTGGCTTTTAAACGAAGCATTTTAGATCAAACAATAGTCTAATACTTGTTAGTGGTTCTTATCGTCATTTTTACACGATTATAAATGTTAAGTACTAAGTTAGCGAATATTTCTGCAACATGAATTGTAGTGCAACCAGGTGACCCGAATTCATTGGCATTAAACTGTTTTTTGACTCCTGGCATTTACGAATCAATAACCTTGGACGTATTCTAAACCATCAAAAGTTTTCGGTATGTAAAACAACACTAGCTTTTTCTCCCATAGCTAATGCCAAATCATAACTACAAGTAGCTATTCATAATAGTTTTTTGACATCACCACAAAGCATTATTACGATATGACAGTCACGTAATATGGTTGATACAAGTGTTGAACCCAAGAACTAAGTCAGCCGATGATATGACTGATAACTACTTCCACAAATAGTGTGGTTTATTCAGTTATCTCTATCAAACACTGACATTCTCAAAAGAGCTTTTACGATCAGTTAGTTGAAACTTTATCAGCTTGATGAGAGGTTTGACGGCAGTCATTTGTGCAAATGATTGGTGTCTGCAGTCGAGCAAATCTGCGAAGTGAAAGCATCATTGTTGTATTTATACAAACACTGACTAAAAGCTGATACCATAGAAATGGGTTGGGTGCTATGATCCCACTGACCAAAACCTATGCTCTATCTGATAAGCACATGGCTTGCACTCACTTTATCGACTTATGAGCATTCGATTAAATGAAGACATCACATTTAATGGTACTATGTGAGCTATATTAATTTCACAAACTTAATTTCAAATGGATTGATTTACAGCTTCTGTTTGAACTTATGCTCACGAGTAACTTGTATGCAGAGCTGTTTCTAATTATTCATCTATAAACACTAATATGGACAACTGATCCACTAGACCATCAAAATATTGAGTTTACAGCATGACTTTCATAGCTACACTCTCGTCGAACCAATTGTCAGTTTCCATACAAAATTCTGGAAATTACCACTAGTGTCAGGGGACAAGAACTTGTTTCATGTAGATACGTTTTTTTTGGTCGTATAACATAAAAACTACTACCGAAAGCTCTTTAGGTGCCAACCATTTTTATAAATTCGAAAGCATCCTACAAACTGTAGGGAACTAGTTTCTCACGGATTGGTTCTGAACACCTAGTCAGACACCGTGCAAGTTTGTCGAAAGGTGATTTGGTCATAGGTAATATTTACCTCATTGGGATTTTAGGTAAGACGCATAAGCAAGGTAATTGTGGTTTTCTCGGTTCGAGTTTATTGTAAGGTACTTTACCGATTACATTTTTCTTCAAGAGTTTTCTCACCTTTTTTGAAAGACGCTTTTCAGATCTTCCTGAGTATTTTCGATGATAAGTCTTATGGTATTATTTAAAATAGACATTCTTTTGCTAATGTGTTCGTCTCTGATTAGGATGACTACACGGAAGCCCTTGTCCAGGCGAAGTAGCATTATTGTTTCGTGTTTTATAAGTTTTCTCAGTGCCTGATGATCTTTATTCAACACCCCCCATTACGGAACTGGTGTCGTAACGTACTGACTTGTAATATCCAGTAATTTCGATCTCAACTAACTTTGTTTTTCATCACTCATGGGTTTTAGGTCCGACAACTATTGATATAAATACTCGAATTGAGTTTCGGTCTCGATTACTTTGAATTTTTTCGCAATATGAGATTTAAATCGGAGGGAGAGTGTTTCTGTTTCAATTCAACCTAGTTTTTTACTCCATGAAAAAGCGCACAAGGATATAGATTTTACTATGGAACATGAGATACGTTAATTTCATTTCTTCGATATTGGAACCTAAAGAACTTCAGAGAGCACATTACAGATACACATCCACTGTAAAAATACCTGAAGTTGAGCTTATCGCAATTACAACAGTTTCTGTGCAATAAGTTATATAAAGGGAATTATACGAACGCTTTTTGACCGCCCTCGTAAAATTTGCTCGGAGGAAAGCCTGGAAGAAGAACGTGCCTTCACTACAAATTGCCTACGTGAAAATACATATCCAGTGAAATTCATAGAGAAGTATACCAAAACCAACCTACGGGTTAAATACGATACAATTGATAAGAGAATCTGCTTTTTATATTCACGCTTCAAAGGAGATGAAACCACTACGATAATTAACCACGAGATAAATGCGTTGAAAGTTGCTTATCCATCAGCAGGACTGAAACGAAATGCTCACTTAAATAAACAAAAAATTGATAGGTCCTCTTTTCTCAGTACCTTCAACTACATTTACCGATTTACATGTACGTATCAAACACATACATCAGAAGGACAGAGAAAAGGGTACATGTTCGCATTTCCGAGCACGTTCCAAAGAACTTGAGACTGGGAGGCCCAATGCCTCTGAATAGTGTAATAGCTCGGCATTTACTTGACACCGGGCATACCATTTGAATTCCAACTCCAAATGATCTCTAACGTGTCCTTGCATATATATAGTCGGAAATTAAACCAAATAAGACGGCACTTCATTGGTAACCGAAGGTAATGGGTTCAAACCTTGTGTGCATGATCGCACATGCACACTGCTGAGGAGTCCCATACTAGGACAAAACGGCCGTTCAGTGCTTTCAGCTTTTCAATGATGGTACAATACTAATCAGTTCATGACCTCAAATTAAAAATGTTAATTCGAGAAAGTATACCATTATTTTATGTTCACTGATTGATTTGTATACAGAATTTCGAAGAGGAAATCAACGGAATTTCCAATAATTCCACTATTATTAGATACTGGTGCACGTTCCTAGAGTGTTCTTAAAAATGCCCATTCACACTTAGTTTCCAGTAAAACATAGAGCCAATGCTTAATATTATTTGTTAATGGAACCTACTGAGCACATTAATTAGTACTCATAACAGTACGTCTTTCAGAAGCTTATGAAATTCCAAGGCAATACACGTTTTTATTCTTTTTTGCGTTAACTAATCATGAGAGAAAACTATCTTTTGTATCATGGAGGGAAATTTCAGAAGTTACAAGTATGTGTGAGCGTAAAAATCAAATAACATTATAACATATGTACTGATAAAATAATAAACATCTAGTATAACATTAATAGTTGAATTAATGAGTCGATCTAAGTTAGACCATCACTAAAAACCTGAAAGCACTAGACGGCCGTTTTGTTCTAATGTGGGAGTCCTCAGCAGTGTGCATCCACTCAATAGTGGTCTCGCTTAGATCGACTTATGAATTTAACTATTAAGATTACTGCAATCCTCACAAACCCCCATTCTGAAAACAATCTAGTATAATAATATATCAAGAAGTTTTAAAGATCAGATTTATCAAGATAATTACCTTTACAAATTATATATATATATATATATATATATATATATATATATATATATATATATATATATATATATATATATATATATATATATATATATATATATATATATATATATATATATATATATATATATATATATATATATGTTTCATATGCAAAAAATGAATCTGTTTTAAGACTCTGAGGTATCAGGAATAACATTCTGTTTGGAAAACGATTGATTTACAATTGGTTTGACTGTATTATCATAATCATTAGATTGATGATTATAATGGGTATCTGTACATGAGCATCCTTTGTTATCATTTGACCCGTTCATTAGATAATCTGAATGTTGATGATGCAACGAATGAGTATTGAAAGTCAACAAACGCATTAATAATTTATCACATTTTACACCATTTATAAATTCATCTAATGACAAACGATTATCTCTATCTAAGTCCATCAAATGAAATATTTTTTCTGCTCGTTTTTCCGGTGTAGAATCTGTAACATTGAATTCAACAGCAGAGCCAACCATTGCATAAATAGCCTAAAAAATAATATAATACAGATATATATATATATATATTATTTGGAACGCTTTTAAATATCGTATATATAAGCATAGACAAAATATGTTCATCTAATATTCTTTGTAACTGAACATGATATTAAGTATTACATATTGACCTTTAAGAACAGTCATTTTAACTCAACAGTGGAATCGTATTGTTTCACCCACGAGACATGAATTGATGCTTGATTTTGTGTATCAGGAGGATAGCGAATACATAAACTGACGAGAAGTATTAAACGAGGATGAAAGAACTTTGCAGTAGGTTTCCCTAATTTCAACTAGTTTACAAATGAAACGAAATCTCAACAAACTCCATATAACTAGATCATTTTTGTTAGAAAAGGTGAAACTTTGAAAATTATTTTCCAATAGATCAAAATATTTATGTATTTTTTTCTGATATGTACTAATTAAGTAGTTGCCATAATTGTAAGCCTTTAATTAACTCATTAACAATTGACATATCTTTTACTCACTCATAAATTAGAATTAATTAATTATATTTCTATTACAGCACCAAAAATGTACAGATTAAGATTTCCTAATCGTATTAAGTTGTGGACATGTAGTTGAAGTATACATTCACGCGAGTTTTTAAACCTTAACAGATGGTAAATTGTCTAACTTTTCTCGTATTCTAACTGGGCTACTATTTTATTTATTTATTATTTAAACACAAACATATGTACATGGAGGCACCACACAAATCTCATTTGATTTGTGTGGGGGCTGTGATATTGCCTGGGTGTCCAAACCGAAACAGGCAGTTTCCCTAGAGGCCATACCCCAGGCCTTTGATCTGAAGGTCTGATCCACAAGGCAGTGAAGCAACGTCAGAAGAAGAAGTCCCATGTTAGCTGGTGACCAATAATTGGTTCATACGCCATTTGGTCCCTCAGGATACTAGGGCCCACGTGCACCATTGGTTTGGAATCAGGGTTTTCCAACTCCCCTAGTTGGATCCTCCGTATCTATCAACCCGGATAAAGCGTCGGACATTCGCTTTTCGTCCTCTCAATTTCGGTGTCCCCGCCGCGATATGGCAGTGAGTAGGACTTCCCTGGCAGTAAGTTGCATGCACGTGGTCATGTGAGAGCATTTCGAGAGAGCTGAATTTCCCTACTCTCGACCGTACCAGGGCATTTGGGGGCAAGTTGGCTACAGGGACAGGAAATTCGCGCGACACAAATAGCGATAACCTATATTGTAACTACTGCAAGGAATCAATGTTATTGACTCAAAGTGAACTTATAGCTAGTGCATTTGTAAAAGAAGAGAAAACACAGTGATCTGGATAAGTCAAATGGAATCCAGCATCTAAATTCATGTTCATGGACTAATCTGTAACCTACTACAAACAATAGGCAATAATATAAACTGACTATCTAAATCAGTAGATGTTGAAAGGAATTAGGACCTGTAACTAAGCACATTCAAATAGAGATACCGAAATTACTGAATCAACACTTCAACACATTATCTTGATTATACAGGGTGATGTGCTTAATTTTTGAATTCAAATAAGATCTCAACATACATCGCCAAAATCCAAGAAACAATAAAGAACTATTGAATTAATTTCAAGCTTGTAATACAGAAATATACAGCTATTTTAACCGTAAACACTGTTCGCCTGATTAAATTGGGGCACTAGTAATAACAAAGGAAAATGATTTTGTCTATTTCGTTAGTTTGATTTCGAAGATAGTGTTCATCACGAACTAACCTTCAGCTGGTGAACCATTGGAGACCAAGGAGTATTTGACTACATATGGAAGAATATTATTAAAATCAATGTGGTTTGAAGTTATTACTCACACTGGCAACCACATCAATCAACAATTTTTTACATCTGACCAATCTGTACTTCTCAAATCTACTGCCCAATAATAATAATGATTTTTAAAAAAATTATATTATTGGTTATCATTTTATCAAGATGCATGTAAAAGTCAACAATTCGTACACTGACTATCTGTTTAGTAGCAATGAGCTTTAGTCATCACTAGTTTAGATTCAAGTTCGAATGTAATTACAACCGGAGATAATCTGTTTCCCAGTATGTTATATGTCTATATATTTGTGAGAAAAGTGGGTGCACCTAGACATGTTGAGTACATATTTCGATAACACGTAAACCATCAGTTACTTTCTGAATAACTATGGTTACACCCGAAATCTATCATTATGGAATAGGAAGAACCACAGTCACTTTAAACTGAGGCCATGTAGACGCCTTAACTGACAATAAAAATCTGACCCGATTAGCCATGTAACGGTCTAGTGAATGCGTTGGTTTAAAATGTTTTTATTGGCAGTACATCCTATCCATTGTCAACTGGACGGATTTGATTTAAGTTTAATTATGACTTTGATAATAATTATCAATTGTAATTTTTTTATTGAGTAAGTAATGTAGTTGTTAGAAAACGGGTACTGGGTAAGGATGGCAAATAAATTAATGAAGTAGTGAAACTTCGTCAGTTGAGATGGCTGGGATATGTGTTACGTATGTCCAACCACCGACTGCTCCGACGAGCAATGTTTTATGGTGTAGCAGGAGTAGGATGGAAGGAAGCTAGGGACGGCAAAGTAAAAACATGGAACCACTCCATGAAGTCACAACTGAACTTAGTCATTTCAATAGGTATAGACCAATTGGTTTGGGTCCACAAGATGACAGCAACCGTTGGTTAGAGACCTTGAACGATGTGGCTCAAAATTGTCTGCAATGACGCAGATGTATTCATTGTTGGTGTTCTCTCAAATTCTAATCTTCTGAGATCTTCATGTTCTTTTCTTTCTCTTTCCAAATTTATTTCACTCGATTATACTCCTTGAATAACATCTTCAAACCCTAATCTTCCCGATTACTGCTTATAATTTAATTACCTCTACCACTACGGGATTTGAATCGACAACTGCATCTCTGTGCTAATGTGGTATGGCAACTCGAACTGATGTACGTACGTACGAAGTTCTACATTGTTACTGACTGCCTGACTAAATCGTTTTATTAAATACCTAATAATATTTAGATTTCGCAGGTCATCATACCAAACGGAGAGCCAGTCACACTAAAAGTGACAACAGATATTCTTCACCCAATTGTGGGAATTTATTACTAAAATAAAGAAAATGATTCCAAAAATTTGGATTCCGTTACTGCGTATTTACAACGCAGGAGCTAAAGACCAATAGTTTAACCATGAAAAATTGCAAGGCTATACAGCGATAAAAATATCCCGACTCCATTGAAAAACAAGTTGCTATGCATTGGTTCATTTAAATTCAGTGAGTCAGCTACACCTTAGGACAACGTACATATATGCATCAGTCCAAGTTACCCTAACTCATTAGCACAACAAGATGAACACCAAATTCGTAGAAGCAGCTACTTTGATGGTAGTAAAAAGGGATTTTATATAAGAATATGATACGGGAGGAAAGAATTAGTTCGTAGAAGGAATGGTATAAAATAATTTTAATTTCACGGTTTAAAGAAAGATAAAGAGTGTATACACCTACGCCATTGTGATCGATTCTGAACCATGTCATCAAGAGTCTCCAACCATTGGTTACGATAGTCACGCGGACCACTAACCAAGTAGTCTGCATCTACCAACATGGATCAGACTAGAAGTTAGTGACTGATGCCACGTTTTGGTTTGGCTGCCCCCAACTTTCTTCCACCCGTCTCCAACACTAGTCGGCATTGCGCGCCGTAGTAACCGGTGGTTGGGTATCCGTAATACGTGGCTCAACCATTTCAGTCGATGAAGATTTGCAATCTCATCACCTGACTTACCATCATTCCACAATAATCTGCGTCTAACCTCACTATTACTTACCCGGTGATCCCAGCAGATGAGAACAATATTTGTAAGACATACGTGATCAAACGCTATTAGCTTACGAGTATCTTCTACTCTTAATGGACACGTTTCGCAGCCGTAAAGTAAAACAGAACAAACTGCTGTGCAGTATACTCGCCCTTTAATTGATAGACGGATATCTCGCCTTCACTATAGGTGGCGCAAGTCGGTAAAAACCAAACGAGTTTTTTAATCAGTGCAGAGATTTCGTCAGACACCAACCCATTAAGGGCTGATCGGACTTCCAAGATAAGTAAAGTTGTCGACGCGTTCTGCTATTTCACTCCTTATCCTTAGTTCAGGAGTTGACGCAGGCCAGTCCTGAAGCATCAATTTGTATTTAGTGACGGAAATGTAACCCAAACATCCTGGCATTGTTGCTCAGTGATAACAAGATACTCTGCATTTTATTAGTGTCTTCACCAAACAGGACTATGTTATCTGAGTGTTTTAAATTATTAATTTCCATAACTTAATCTTGAAACGAAAAGACAATGTAGAAAACAAAACAACAACATCAAAGACTTACAGTAAGAACTTCAATTAAATCTTGTTTTGATATATAACCATCATTGTCTAAATCATACATCGTGAATGCCCAACGTAATTTCTGTGATAAATCACCACGATTAGTTATATTTAATGAAGATAGAAAATCTCGAAAGTCAATTAAACCATCATGATTTTGATCAAATGTACGAAATACATACTCTGCGAACCGACTAGATTCACCATATGGGAAAAACTTTGTATAAACACGTTTAAAATCATCAATAGATAAATAACCAGTTGGGCATTCCTTTGTAAAAAGCAAAAAATACGAAGAGATAAATAGAAAACTGGACTATTTTCTTTCATTGGAAAAACGATTATTGGACATTTGAACAGTTGTATATGGCATAACATGTGTAAATTACGGTTATATTCGTTCGTTGTGACTTTCTACATGTCAGCACAAACTGTTGTCTTTACTAAACCATAAGGGGATTTTCATAGTTTATTGACGTATAATTCAAAATTGTTAATCAGGGCTTTAACACCAATTTCGTCTTACATTAACAGAAATATTTTGGTTCTTCATCATAGTAATCAAAGTTTTAAAACCCAGTGTAGTTTTTGGTAGGATGCTAAAATACACATGTAATAACCTATGACAATTTACGCTTAACGAAATCTCAAACAAATCAAAGGTGAGTGGTTGAAAGAAATCAGAAAATACTGAAAGTCGATTAAATAAGTCCTTAGTGAAACATAACTTCAACGTCAAACTCAATATTTGTAACATCGTAACCCATCAACTAAACATTTTACTTTACTCAAGCTCGTTATAATTTTATATGAGAGTAAGTAACAGTGCTTGACCAAAGCAATTAGAACAGAAGTCAAGAATGTAACTTGGTGTTTAAAAGTTTAGTGATCTAACCGATAAACTACTACATTATACGGAGAAATTTCATAAGCGTTAAAATTTCAATTATTAAAGTCCAATCAAATATTTCAATGATTAACTACATAATATTTTAGCTCATATATAACTAAATTTTTTTCAGTAAAACAATAACGCATTTGTAAAATAAGGGTTTGTGTACTTAACTTACAGCCACACATTTTATGACGATTATTGGCAGTATTCTACTTTCAAAACCACATGGAGCTACTGTTTTGTTGCAAAGAATTAGATGTAGAAGATAAGATGACTACAGATATTACGCAAATATTCATCCTATTGTTCAGATATATTTATTCACTGACGTAATACAGTGGAAGTTCAATCATTTACCTTAGGATGAACATAAAATACGAACAAGCCAGTTGAAGTTACATGAAATCGTGGTGGTACCATTACATTAGATGTTTGCTTCTGCTGAACTGAGGCAAACACTAGGAGATAAAACAAATACTATTATCGCTAAACAACTGAAAATGCGGAAGCAATGTAACATTTCCAACTCAACTAACCTTTAAAAATCCCTTATACCAGTCTTGAATTTCAGTTTCCGTAAAAGATGTTTGGTTTAGTAGTTCTTCAACAGCATCTTGTTTTAATTTTGGTTGCTTTTGACCCATAGACCAGTTGGAATCCAATTAAAAGGAGAAAAGACAATAATCCCACTGTCTAACCAATTCAGAAGTATTTAAAGGAGATACTACACTACAAAAAATGGATTATAAGCACATCGTCTAATATGAATCTATATGTCCAAAATATAGAGGAATTTACTGTTAGAAAAGTAATTTGTTTTTAAGAGATGCAAGGGAAAATAAAACACGAAAAGCACACTAACCACCCACATTTTCCACGAGAGATCCATGACACACAAATCTATCATTGAAATACAACTGACACTCGCATAAACACCTCTATTTGAAAATGAATGACAGACTGACTTTTCATTACTGATAGACAGTTATCGCTATCAAAGACGTTATAAAAACTGAGCTTTTAACAAGCAATACAAATAAACCTTACAAGCTCGAGGTCCTTTATTTGAACTCCAGATGTATGATTAAATAGTATAATCAAAGTCATGCCTGTTTGTTGACTAGAATTTCTAACAATAATTGAATGGCATAGTGCAGGCGATTAATCTCATGTAATTTTTTATCCAGGCAATAATAAAAACCCTAGTTATTTACGCTAATATCCATGTGTAGGTTTCAAAAGTAAGAGTTTGACAATATGTGATACATTAGTTACCAAACAAACATACAAGACTTCAAATCCAAAACACAAAAGCAGCACTAAGCACAGATAAATATAACGCCAAGATAAATAAAGACGTAAGTAGAGGAAGAACAAATAAAAAAGGAAGACGGAAAATTCAACAAAAATGAATAAATTTTTGAATAACCATGGAAAAAATTCAAAATGTCAAGTTACTGAAAAGTAGTATAATTTCTGAGACTAAGATGAACACGCTTATTGTACTGTGTTCGATTCAGAGAGATAACCACTAGAGGTTTTGAAATACTGATTCGAAACTTTTTAAAGATTGAAATTTATTAGCCTAAACATCTGTAAACATGCTAAAGATCAGTAAGTTTCGAGATCAGTATCATGTTGTAGTCTGCTCTTTGTCATCGTTTACTACCTCACTCATGATCACTGCACAGCCTGAAATTAGTCCATATTACCATACTACGTTAGAGCGAAATACAATTAACAAGATCCGTAGCAAAGAAAGTCAAAACAATAATAGCATCAGTGGTAGTGAGAAAGAGTAAGCATTGGAAATATGACCCGAAAAGGTATGTATGACTGATCATTCAGGAGAAAATAAGAATGGGACGTATCTTCGACATGCTGTGACCGATCCTGTCCGAACGTAGCTGCTACCTTGACGTGGTGGTCGAGCTTGTCAATTGTGACGACCCAATCGAGCTACACTAGCTGGAACACATGCTCCTTTAGGTCCTGACATCCACACTTCAGTTACCCACTATTTTCAATCAACCTGAATGACAAACTGCTTCGGTCTGGGCACCCGGGCAGTATCACAGCCCTCATACATATCGAATGAGATTTGTGTGGCGCATATGTATTTGGTGTCTCTTTGTACCAATATCTATGTGTTGAAATAAGTAAATAATAAATACAAACTGATGTAAGTCCTCCAACTCTTAGTGAAGTTGAAAAGGCTATAAGTAACCTAAAGCGTAGGAAAGCAACAGTCTGATGGATTAACCCATGAAACAAGGTTGGTGGCCCAGTTTCAAATATTGGATTGACCGAGATCTTAGCCAGAATCTGGGAGCTAGATATAATCCCATCTGACTGGCCTCGATCGTTCCAATCTATGAGAAGGAGCAAAAATCCTCTTATGACAACCACAGGAGTCAGTTTAACTAATATAGTGTCTTAAATATTAGCCTCAATAATACTTCGACGTCTAACAAGAGCTCCTGAAGAGTGAACCCGAGAAAACCAGGCTGGTTTCAGACCTGGACATGGATGTATGGACCGAATACTCCCTCTTCAGCAGATTCTGGAACATAGGTATGCTTTTCGACGTCCTACTACAGTTGTATTCTTTAACCTTATGGCAGCGTACTACTCTGTTGGTCGTGAGGTTCTATGTCAGTATCTGTCACTGAAAGGCATACCAAAGGAGCAAATTAACCTTATACAGGCTCCTTACTCGAATACCACTGGTCGAATCAAATCCTATGTTGAATCGGTTACTTCAAGTGGTGGTCGTTGGGGTTGTCCACCTTCTACATTTTTCTTCAACTTTATCGTAGACGTGCTTCTAGAGATAAGATTTCGATCGTCTAACTTTTCAGGAGTTGATCTTCTACCAGTAGATTCACTTGGAATACGTATATGATATAAATCTGTTTGGTGAAGTGACTGGCAAAATGCAGCCTTCTGACTACCTTAAGCGACAATGTAAACATGTTTGGGGAAAAGTCCTCTTCAAAAAATGTAAAACGCTACTTCAAGATTGACCTGTGTCACCACCTGAGCTAGTGATAGGGAGTGAAGTTGAACACACCGGTCGCTTCACTCATCTGAGGAGTTCCATCAGTACTGATGATCTGGTGCCTAGTAAAATCTCGGCATGGATTCAAAAGGCTAGATTGGCTTTTGCCAAGTTGGGTCACTTGTTGCGTAGACCAGATGTTTTTTAACGGAAAGGAGAGTCTACTGAGCAGCAGTTTGTTTCGTTCTACTTTACAGACGTGAAACATGGGCATTAAAAACAGAAGTTACTAGTATTCGATCATGTGTCCCTGAAGCATGGCTCGTGTATCTTGGGACCACCGACTAAGTAATGCCTGGGTTAGGAGTAGAATACTTGATAAAGATGGGAAGTCGACTGATGAAGGAGTAAACCTTCATCAACTGAGGTGGTTGGGACATGTGTTACGTATGCTTAACCACTGTCTACCTCGACGGAGGGATGTTATCTGGTGTAGTATACTGGAACCTGCTTCGGTCTGGGCACCCAGGCAGTATCACAGCCCATACACAAACCAAGTGACTTGTGTGGCGCATATGCATTCGGTGCCCCTTTGTACCAATATTTATATGTTCAAATAAATAATAAAATGAAGACTGGAAGAACAATACTAATGGCTAAACCAAATCATAGCATCAGTCCATGAAGTAATTGACGATTAAAATGAATCATGTTAATAGAAACGTGAACGAGGTATACTTATAGCGTTCCAGACCATACTCCTGCAATCAGTTATACACGCTCTACTAGCCTTTTTAAATAGAAGCAGTAATACCGTCTAATTCAAATCATCAACCATAAAAATGCACAAATCACTATACATTTGCTGAAGTGATCACATATATTATCGAGTAATGCATACACGGGACGGGTCAGGAAACTACGCCAACATTTACCACCACCCTTATACAGTAGTTTTGAAAGCTCTCAGTCAGAGTTTAACTCTAATTAACTGTTATAAGCAGTATTTGATTAGTGCAATACCTACTCGCTAACAAGTCGTTACATTCATTTAGCTGGCAATCTTGTGCATAAGTGTCAAAGTATCACTGTCGTATACTAATTCCGCAGTAAAACTACCACATAAGTAAAATTTGAGGTCAACCATAAAATAAAAACGAGATTTGCAAGTTGAATCCATAATTTAATAAACATTGAAGTAATTGAGCAACCGCTCAACTGATAAAATATAAGGCCATGCTTCCAACCAGAAAAACACTATAGACGTTATTATATCATATCATTTATAAATATATATGGTAAGAGGATGGCTTTTCTGAAATACATGAATAAAAAAAACAAATCCCGTTCTCTAAACATTGAGATAAAATTTCTCCAACAGTTTCAGCAGTAGTTTAAGCGAAATTCAGAAGACAATACGAACAGTAATATAGAAATTCATGCTGGCCGTGGATTTTTTACTGAAATATGCACTAACTTTCGTCTCGAAATTAGAAAGATTAAAAAGAGAAACCAGAAGAGATGGATACACAAGATAATGAAAGGAATATACCGTCCACTTCTCCAAAGACATCTCTAACACACATTTTCGAACGAACTTTAATTCACAAAGTGGACGACACAAATGTTCCTTTCGTTTCAATTTCCATGGACCAAAAACATGTAGTACTACATGACTATTGTGAAAAAAATTATTTTAGAATATTTAAACGTAATACATTCGAACCTGTTTTTTGAACGGTCATAAATTTTAACTTCGTATAAATTAAACGAAGTGGAAGTGATCCAATTCTGTTTATACCTTGACGGTTGACCTTAATATAACGAGGAGATCAACAATTCCGCAACATTTCTAATATTCAACATCCAACATCCAAAATCTTTGTCATGACCGTGCATAAAGCGGTTAATTTTTTCGTCCTCATCTCTCGTTGTTTTTTTTTACGTTTTGTGATATTTTTTATGTTCAATGGACGAAAGTTTGGTCACTGCACTACACTAAATCAAATCAAAATGGTTGTTACTATATTTTGTAATTCGAGTGAGTTGTCTCAAGGCAATAGAGTTTCTGGATATCAGTAGCTGTCACATCACCAGACAGAAAGTTGCCTAGCTGCAATGTTAGGAGTATACAGTGATGACTCGGGTGCTAAGCGAAAACAATTGTTTCAAGTATATGTAAATAATTTACATGATTGGTAATCAGACTGAAAGAAAAGGTGATGATAATAAGCGAGATGAGAAGTATTCAATATTATGCACTAGTGATAAAAGTAAGCAAATTGTGAGACATGCACCAGACACAGCTGATCATTAGGTGAGTCCATATTTGTAAAATTTTCTTTCGAAGCTATTCACTGAGATGGCTGTAGTTAATTCGGGTAATAGAGCAGACCGAAATGTTTGCTCCTCGATGCACGATGCTTAAAATTTTGCCTCGAGGAGAGTACAATAACAATCTGTACTTCAAGTCGAAGCCGTACGTATGTTTAAGAGAAAATTAGGAACAATTCTGACGTGATTGTCCAAAATTGTCTACGAATGAAGTGGAGTTGCGTTTGCCTTGGCTGTATCCCCTTAGTACTTTGAACTGGTGTCTATGCTTTCTGAGGGTGCAAGCCGAGGATCACACTCTGAGGGAACAATTTTCGGCTGATTTTCACGGAGACTGTAAGTGCTTTGTATCAAATGACACAGAATGTTCATGACATGACATTTCGAAAGGCTAAGTTTATTCCACTTTTTACTCCTCATTCCCATTTAGTTGTTAGGTCCTTCCAAATCTCACGTGAATCTATTTTGTTTTTATTGGTCTCCATATCTTTGCGTTTCCCGCATAAATCAGTGCCACTCAGCTAATTTCATATGGTAAATCGTTAATAAAGCCCTAAAACAGAGGTAGACCGTAGATTGTTCCCTGCGAAAATTTTCATGTCCTGACCCCCTAATTTGCATGTGCTCTATTTACATTGATGAAAAACATCCTGTTCTCTAGGTTATATTTGAGCTACGTTAAGGGTGAGTCAATAAAACTCATCTTTTCAACCTTCGTTGTGAGAACTACATGACGAACAGATTTGAGAGTTGGTCAATGAACTTATTGTTAAAGGTCCCTCTCATCTCGAGACCAGTGTCGTGGTACAGACTTCTTTATATTTAGGCTTTCTCCTGGCTATAAATTAGTAGATATATTTGTGGTAGGCTTGCATTATAACCACCAGCTTGACCTGAAAACACCTATTGCTTTAACCTAGGCGTTGCGTCTGTTTCTTAAAGCCATGCGAGAACTACAATCAGAGTTCTTCAGGGAAGTTCTCCACTCTTATCAGTCTCGTCATTTGACCTGGAGCAAACAGCTCGTGCCTCACTCTGTTCTGAGCCTTATATTTCCAGATGTGTTGCTACTCTGGGATGCATTGTGTAGGGTAAAATCATGGGTGTCGTCCCTCACTACATCCAAGTGGTTATCCACTGCTAGCCACCATTAACTTCGTGACCATCGAGTGTGTTCCGTCATCGTTGTATAGTGTGCCCTTAATGTAGCTGAGGTGGGGATCATTCTCGTCCCTCCAAAGTATTCTGCTTGTGACCACGTTAAACATAACTGTAACATGTTCACCACATAATATCGATGCATGAACATGGACACCGTCAACTAGAAGTTATTCATTTGTCAGTAAATAATGTAAGTTTGAAAGTTTCCCGTCCATCTACTATCACGTCGAGTCACTTAAACTTCCAGTCAGTGTTGGACTTTCAATGACTGTGCTAATCAGTTTGTCACACCATCCTGTAGGTGATGTATCCCGCTTACTGAGATTAAGGGATAGATTGTTGAAGCCTCCAGTTAGTGATATTTGGTCAGACCATAAATGTGGTAACTTTAGTATTGCTTGCATTGTCTCATCTTTTTGAGTCTTATCACTTGTGTGTGCCGGTTCATTCTTCCAATCAAGTACTTTGTTCCGTTTGCAGCTAATTAACACCGGCATGATTCTACCACCTCGGTTAACTCGCTACTACGTAGCATTGCATATTTGAAGCGACTGACAATGTGTATTGCCACTCCGCCTCCTGTTTTTTGTAGACCATCTCATAGATACACGACAAAAGAATCCATAAGGCACTAAAAATTGCAAATTCACCTCTAACTGTTCTAGCAAGCAATCTTGCGGTGACTGCATAACTTATCTACAAGTTCTGCGTTTATAAAAAGAGTAATGTATGTTGTATTTAAAACGATTCGTAAGAGGGCAGTTGATTGAGTGAGATGAATTTATCGTAAAATGGTTCAGGCTTGATGTGAATATGGTTGGCATATTTGTTGTTGTCTTCAAGCAAGTTGGTGATGAAATTGGTATCCTTCAAAGTGTTTGAATGTTGCATTTCGGTACTGAAAAGTGAATATTTTCAGGTTATTGGTGAGAGATCAACGAAACCACGTTAGACTTGAAAACGTGCGTGGTTTAAAAAGACAAACGGTTCAGCTATGTGCAAACTGGGCCAAATGAGTTTCGACTTGATACGGTAAGCTTAACAACTGTGGTTACAATCTTAGGCCTATCTCCTGTGGTGCTGTTCTAACACTGCTTAAACTCCTATGTGATCCCTATAACTTTCTTGACTTCCTTAATTATCGATGTCGGCTTTCACTACACCGGACTTAACCGTGTACGTCATGGTTCTTGCTGCCCCACATCCCTAGAACTTCACAGTTCCTGAAATGAACGACTATCAAGTAAGTTGGAGCTGATGGTATCTGTTTTAGAACTCCTTGATGATTTATTAGCGTCTGAAGACTACTATTCATCGTTCTCATAGGCTTTGTCCTGGACCTTCCGTGCCAGTTTCCGAGACCTGTATAACATCAAATTCGTAGTCACTGGAAAGTTATAGCTTGTGAAAAATACTTGATAAAGGAAAGCTGCATACAAAGAGAAATAATCCAAAGGAATAAGTAAACAGAAATTATAACAGTCAAACTGGGCTTGATAGGTTGGAGAGCAGAAGTAATTTAGACTCAAATTACAGTATAAATTTGGACTAAATCAGAAGTATTTCTAGTTTTACATAGATTAGATAGATCATTGTAACTGTTCTAGGCAGATATCTCCAAACAACCATCCCGTTGGGCTAGTGAGAAATTCTGGGTTAATGAAAAAGTTTATTTAACTTGGAGACCCGGTAAAACGATTAAATACTGAACAAATAAATCTTTCAAGTATCTCGGTAATAATTGGGAACACTTAATATGATACTTCTACTTCAGACAACGAATATTTCCTTGAAATATGTATTCATGTCAATATTCGGCAGTTATACTGACTAGTAGTCGTAATAGTCACCATTGTATCATGTATTTGAAATATTATAAGAAAATAATACTAGTCCTAATAAGTTCAGAACTTCAAAAAGACACGACTAAGAACTCAAAACTACAGTACGCAGTATGAAGTTGTATATTACTATGGTAGGTTTAAAAAACATGTGATATTTAACTGTACAGTAAATGTATTGGTTATTCATCGCATGTATGAAGGCACTCAGTCGAATAGACGTAAAACGCTCCTGTCTTTCTGAATAACTAGCTTGGAAATCTCAGATTTCCTAACCTCTGCATACATTCGAATTTACTTTTCCGACAATCTACTATTGTCTTCTTTCTTATTTATCTTCTTGAAAATATTTGTAGGATACTAGAAAACCTGTATTTTCCTATTCTCTGTGTGCGTTTGAAGTGAGCATTGATCAGTCATAATCATATTAGTGTCTTTCCTTTTATGCCACTAGTCGTAAGCAAGCAACTACGAATATAATCTTGATTAATTTGAGCTCCCTGGCAGTTTTTACTAATTCATATTGCAAAAAGTCATATTACGAATTGTGCATTGCTTTCACACTGTTAATGAATTTCGCAAGGTTCTCGGATGTTTCAGTCTAGTTGTTTCTGGGAGAATATATTCCTAATCGTAATGAAAAGTGTAAGTGATTTCACATCTTTCTCAATTTCTTAAAATCTTTAATCAGGAGAGTCCTTAACAATATAACACAGTCAAAGAGAAAGCTACTTACCTATCTACTTTGACGTTTCTCACTTTCTTGTTTTTACAATGTCGTTTTTATAGTTGCTTGAAGTGAACATTCGCCTTATATTTAGGGCACTATGGCATGTTTATTTTGGCGTACAAGTAAACCCACAAGTAGTAAATAGCATCTTTTAATATCCGTCTTTAAATATCAGTCTGTAAGCTATCCGTCCTGATCCTACATTACAACTAAATTGCCCATGTTTTTGTATATCTGCTGTGTACAATATTCTGGTCCCACAGCAATTATTACTTTTTGATATCTTTAAAATATAACCTTTTTATTGTTGATCCGGTTTGTTTTGTTAGAAGAGGCTGAGTAAGGAAAAAATATGAATTACAATAATGAAATAATGACCTGTCTTCTATAAAGTATTAAATGCCTTTAGAATGACTCTGTAACTGACAATCTACCACATAATCAAAAGAGTCTCGATTAAACAATTACTTTAGATTACTACGTCATCATGATAAGTTGATATAGTTACAGATTGCTGAAAGTAAACGAACATGGAATATTTGATGATTACAAATTTGCCAATTTATGCTAAGCGTACGTTGCGGGGTCTCCTGATGATTAATTTATTTCACCAAATATTAAAACCCTACTTTATACTGAATACTATGTAATGGCTTTCCTTCGTTAATCAATCACCTCAATAGCCATTATAATATAAATCTCAACGGTGTTTGAAACCAGAAGGTAATGCGAAGCGGCAACTACAGTTCATTAGCAGATAGCACGGATAACAAAGCTATCGAACGAATTTGAATCAGAGAAGC